CAATCAGCCTGGATAGGTTACGATGAGAAACTTGTTTTGCTGCCCACTGTTCTTTTCTGGCCTTTCGAGTGAGGTAGGATTTGGCATGTGGATGATGATGTAATATGTTACTCAGCCAGGCAAGTTGTCACAGGCTCATAGGTTTGGTTTTTGAAAAATGAAAAGCGGATACGTGAGAAAGTGGTCCATGTGGGAATAAGAATTACAATAAAAGTGGAAAACGCTGTCTGGCGCTGGTGTGTGTGTCTCTGAGTGCCGAGGTTCTCTGCCGCGCAGATTCATCACTGAAGTGCTGGCCAGTACTGGGGGACGGGCGCACCTCTCCTGGGACTCATCAGCTGAATAGAATGATTAAGCAGCTGAATAGAATGATTCGTGACGTGCTGGTGTTGTGGAGGCAGAAGCTTGGTCTCGATTTCCATTAAATAAGTGTGTGGAATCAATACCTAACTGAATGTTTGTCATGGGAACACCCTGAGGCCCCTGTGTAGCTGGTATTTTTCAGACTAATTCTCAGACAGGAAAATGTGCAGCATGTCTCTTTTCTGAAATAGTTTCAACAACTTTTATGTAATGCTGATGCATCTGGAAGTGAAAATGCTAAGAGTTTCATTTCACTAAAAATGGATTTATTTTTTACTTTAACCTTTAACTTTAGATCATAATTAGTAGCATTTTCATCTTCATCTTAAAAGCATCAAAGTGTATATATTCATTGACACGTTGAACCAGTATTTAGTGAGAATGTTTATGTGCAAAGAACTGTGTAAGTTGTTATAAAAAAAAATGCAGAGACCTGGTCAGTACTCTAAGGAGCCCAGAGTCTAGAGAGGGAAACAGATCATTGCACAGCAGGACAAAGACAATGTATGTGGGAGCGTATCACAGAGGAAATGACATCTGAGCATTTGAGCTGAATCTTAAAGGAAGAATTTCAGATATAGGAATCAGCACAAATAAAGAAGAATTTTGCCTTATATTCTTAAGGGTTCACCAGATTTTTTTTCCTACAAGCATATGATGAGATTAATAGTAAATTCAGACCAAAATTATCTAAATAAATTAAGACTTTTTGGGCTAAATTTGTTCTACCTTTGCATCTTAATTACATTGCAGAGAACAATATATTTGCAATAAACTGGTCAATGGGTGTGGCCAATCAATAGAATTGTAATTCATTTTAAAAGTAGTGCAACGTTCTAGTGGTAAAACAATTAGAAGTTAAGAATTTGGCATTTTTATAATATTTTCCTTCTGTAGCTCTAATACTTCTCAGAAAATGGTTAAGCTCCACTTAGAAATCTGACTTGCTTTGGGTTTTATCATTTATCAGAGAGGTAAAGATGAATTATTAATAGAAATCTCAAATGCAGTAATGATAGTACCTTATATTTCAGTAGCACACAGTATATGAAATACTTTTGTAGTCATTATTTAAATTTGGCCAGTATATTAAAAAAGGGCATCATACGAATGATAAGTTTCTTGGTAGAATAAATTACTACCAGTTCATTCTGCTCAACTGTGCACTGGTAGCATTTGTAAACAATTCATTCTGACATTATTTAAAAAAAATATTGTTGCAGAATTGTCTTGCCTCTTTCCCCCTCTTTGCATAAGTCTGTTACATTAAATTTCAACAAAACTAAATCAGCATAGCACTTGATAATGTGTTTGCTCTTAATTCATACACTTTCTGGCATATTAATTAGGCTAAAACATAATATTTATTTATAGAAGTTATATCACTCTGTCCAGTAATTAATAGAAATGAATATGTATATCTTGTTTTATTAGCAAAGAAATAATTTGCAATAAACATTCCTAATTCTTTAAGCTAAATATTTATGGCATTTGAATGATAATATTTGGTGTTTCTGTCATTTAGATTTTATAGATAATTTCTGGACAGCAATACATCTTCTGTGTTGATGCTTTGTGCCTTTATACATATACTAGAGGCTTGAAGCACGAAATTCTTGTAAGAGTAGGCCTTCGCAGCCACGGGCGGCTGCCTGGATCCCTCCCTTGCAGCCATGGCAGCTGCAGCTCCAGCTTAGTCCAGAAGGACATCCGGAAGGACGTCTGGTCTAATTAGCATATTACACTTTTATTATTATAGATTGTAGTGAGTAAGACTCACCTTTATCCTTGGTCTGCTGAGTGCCTCTTCAGCCATTTTACGGCTTTGCAGAGATACTAATGCTAATTAATGTTTTACTAGTAGGAAGAGTCATTGTCAAATAAAACTGTTAAATTTGAAGTGTGAATTATAAATTCAACATGGTTGTCCTAATAGTAATATTGACAATGATGGTTATACAGTTATACTATTTCTAGGTGCTTCTAGTGTGCTGGGCTCTGTGCTAAACATTTTACTGGTATATTATTTAATTTTCCCAACTACTCTGTGAGATAGGTGTCATCCCCATTTTACAGATTAATTTATAACCGTTATGCCTTGTACCATTTAATAATATTTAAATATACTACATATATTAAAATATTTAAGTAGTCAACTGTGGAGCTTTGCACATATGAAATGTATACTTTCATTCAACAAATATTTATTTGTTGACTATTTATGTTCAAGGCTGATGTGCTAACTCTGAGGATAGTGTAATGAGGCACTACCCCTCCTTTGCCTTTAAGGCAGCGGTTCTCAACCTGTGGGTCGCGACCCCTTTGGCGGTCGAACGGCCCTTTCACAGGGGTCGCCTAAGACCATCCTGCATATCAGATATTTACATTACGATTCATAACAGTAGCAACATTACAGTTATGAGGTAGCAACGAAAATAACTTTATGGTTGGGTCACAACATGAGGAACTGTATTTAAAGGGCCAGAAGGTTGAGAACCACTGCTTTAAGGGCCTTGCGATGCATTGGGAGAGATGGACTTGCTTAAAACACAAGTACAAGAAAATGTGATAATTGGTTTTCTAGCAGAGAGTGTTGTAGAAGAGTGGGAAAAGAGGGCCTCACCTTCCCAGAAGGTAGTTGAGAGGTCTTCACAGAAGAGCGGCCCTCACTGAGACTTGAAGAATGAGTCTGGGTTTGAAGAGGTGCTGTGCAGCGGGAACAGAATAGACCAGAGTGTGGAGATGCGTGGGAGCCAGGCAGGGTTGGTCAGGGAGCTACAGGGATTCCAAGGTGCTGAGGGTCAAGTGAACCTGGAGGAGCTGCATAGCTGGATGGGGTCAGGTCCAGGAGCCTTGCATGCTGTTCAAAGGAATGCAGACCTTATCCTCTGTGTTGAAAAGCCATCAGCAGATTAATTCAACAAACACTAATTACGGTAAGGGTTGTTCTTCCCTCCCTTCCTCCCTCGTTTATTCACTCGGCAGATGTTTATAGAGTGCCAGTAATGTGCCAAGCATTGTGGTGAATATTGAGGATAAAAGGGTAGACAAGAGCACATGTGTTCTGCCTTCGTAGAGTTTACTAATTAGTGGCGGAAACAAGCATCAATCAATGAATCTATCAAAAAATGTAAATCCTCAAAAGTGGCCAGTATAACACAGGAAAATGGTTCTATAAAAGTATCGAGAAGGTAGTGACCTGGCTAAGGAGGTCGGGAAAGGCTCCCTGAGAACAGGACTGAGCTGAGAGCAGAAGGAGAAAATGATACCAGGTCACTTGATGAAGAAGGTGGGTTATTCGGGAAGAGAACTAGGCTATTCTGCAGCGAGGGCTGGGAGAACAAGGTGCTTTTAAAGGCTTAAAAGTAAGATAGAAAGCTGGAGTGCAGGCGGGAAAAGAGCATGAAGGCTGGATTGCACTGGGCCTGGGGGCTAGGGTAAGAATCTGAGCTCAGTGGAAAACTATGCTAATCAAAGGGTGTGGCATGCGCAAAAGCACAGAGGCATAATGAGAACAGTGTACACACATACCTACATTTATGCAGGTATACAAAAGGGAAATCAATATGGGACCCATTAATAACTTTGATATGCTCATATCTATTTTGTGTTAGTGATTCTAAGATCTATATGTAGTATGAAGACTTGTAAATAGGTAAAAAAATATTTTTTTATACCATAGTTATAATATATAGAAATTCCTCTCTTTATGTATCTTAAATAAGGGATTTCCATATGGCTCTTGATTTTAACTGCCTTCTTCCTAATAAAATTTAGCCAGTTAGGCAGGACTTGGATTTTAGTTTTTTCCTTAGTGTGTTGGCACCCAGATTTGGGATTTGTTGGTACTTTTAATTTACTAAAATAACTATAAATCTACCCTTAATTGTAATATGAATGTGTTGATTTCAGTAGGACTTGGTAATTAAAATCAAAGGATAGTCACATCCCAAAAGAGCAATGCTAAGACTTAGGGGCATATAAACTCTGGGGAAAATACGATGATGTTGATTTAATGTTTAACTTTTTTTTGTAATAATAAGTACAGGATTGTTGGTAGCAAGATCAGTTTTGGAGAGACGGTACAGGACTGGAATCTGGAATTATGAGCATGGCCTCCATGAACAATGTTGGCTCAGTAATGGGGCCTGGGAGACCAAAGTGCTGAGCGTCAGGTGCAGCAATGACTCTGCTTTTTGGTCAATAATAGTGTGATGGAGTGGGGGTGATGTGTGCGAAGGATTAATAGGAATCATAGAGAGTGTCAAATTCAGTGATGTTCCTGAAATTTTCTGGAATATAACTATTTTTTATTTCTCTGAAGTTTGGGAATCATTAAGCAGGGAAGGAGGGAAAGGAACAGGCTTAATTTGTTGGTGATGCCCCTAAGGTCAAAAGATAGGATGGGAAGCCTGTCATCCCTGGAGAGGTGGGTGGGTGAGTGTGTGTGTGTGTGTGTGTGTGTGTGTGTGTGTGTGTGAGTGAGAGAGAGAGAGAGAGAGAGAGAGAGAGAGAGAGAGAGAGAGAGAGAGAGAGATATTATGCATATATGTTTCTTTTTTCTCTGACCAGTTAATGTGAATGAAGGTCACAGCAAGCTGCCTCACTCAGTGGGAATATTGTTTTTGTACTTACAGGTCTAGGCATTTTACACTGAGTTTTCTACTGCCACACTTTCTACTCAAGCAAAATCCATGTGAAAAGATCTGCTGGGAAGGAGCCGACTGCTTATGTTTCTCCATTGTGATGAAAGCACATGGTACAGGTAAATATCTCCAAAATCTTTAACTAAAAATAATGATCATTTAATTGTAAAGTCCCCAAGATAGTGGGGGAGATATATATATATTTTTCTCCATTCTCCTACACATGCATAGACACACACACACCAACACACAACATAAACATAATCTTTAGATTCACATATTCTCTATCTCTTTATTTTTTGTCTCTTTTATAAAAATGGAACCCTCCTTGCTTATGGGAAAGAAAATAACTTCCATGTATGTTGAAATCACTGATTAAGGTGGATGCCAAGACATTGATAAGAAAGGGATGATTTGGATGATGGTGTTTATAAATTCAGCTAGAGAAACTACCATCAGATGGTAGTAGGGAACATTATATTCTAACACCTTTCATCTAACATTTTTATTCCTCTAAATGTAATAATGAACATATTTTCATAGCAACATATTTATCTGCAACAATATTTTTAATGATTATATAGCATACCATTGAATGCATATCCTACAATACATTTAATTGATCCTCTCTAGCTGGACATTTAATTTGCTTCTAATTTTTTTTTTCTCTTATGCTACCAGTAATGCTCTTACAGCTTTACTAGAGGCCCAGTGCATGAATTCATGCATGGGTGGGGTCCCTCTGGGTGGCCTGCAGGGAACGGGCCAAAACCCTCAATCCAGTGTTGCCTGCAGCTCCTACCTGCCGCTCCTGCTCATCCCGGCCCTATTGTGCCTGCTGCAGGCTCGTGCCCAATCAGTCCCGATCTGGAGAGGTTCCCGCTGCTGCAGCAGCGCTCACCAGCCATGAGCCCTGTGTCTGGTGCCCTCCCAAGGAGAGTGGCTTGCGGGATTGGGCTGAAACTGGCTCTCCGACATCCCCTGAGAGGTCCTGGATTGTGAGAGGGCACAGGCCAACCTGAGGGAACCCCACTGGTGCATGATCAGGGCCAGGGAGGGACTGTGGGAGGGCTCCAGGGCATGTCCAGCCCATCTTGCTCAGTCCCAGTTTGGGCGGACACCAGCAGCAAGCTAACCTACCAGTCAGAGCATCTGCCCCCTGGGGGTCAGTGCACATCATAGTAACTTGTCGACTAGTTGACTGTTTGCCCCTGGTGGTCAGTGCATGTCATAGTGAGTGGTTGAGCAGCCTTAGCATATCATTAGCATATTATGCTTTGATGGCTGTTTGGTTGTTCTGCTGTTCAGTCTGTTTGCATATTACCCTTTTATTAGATAGGATATTAATTGCCAGTATTCATAGCTTCCTTAGGATACTTCCTTAGCAGTAACTTGCTGAATTTAAGAGTTTTTCAGTTTTAAAATGTTTGCTACTTGCTGCTAAATTCCTTTCCAATAAAGTCGTATCAGTTTCTATTTCCAGGGGCAGTGTATGAGAGTGCCTATGCATATAATTGTATCAGTACAGAGAATTTTGAAAACAAAAAAAGTCATTGCCAATTGAATATGAGACATGGGATCCCCATGGTTTTTGGGGGAGGGCATTTATTAATAAATCATACCGTTTTTAAGAACCTTCCTGCTGTAGATAGCAACATCTGTACATTGCCAGTTTTTGACATTTGAGAAATAATACTAAATCAAGAAGGTATGGATAGGTCCTGGGGAATTTTAAGTTTTTCTCCTTTTATAGCCAAGTATTTTTAGATGACTATGAGATTACTAGATAGCGATAATTTTTCACTGGAAAACATAGTTTTTCTTTAACAAGAATAAAAAGGTATTTAATGAACAGCCTATATTAAACATAGATCTGAAGTTGTATGCTCATTAGTTAAAATATGTGTATGTGGGTGTGTATGTACATACACATATGAGTATATATCTCTATGCATACATATGTGTGTACACACACATACAGACACGTATCTGTCCAATGTTGGGAGCATGATTAGATATAACTGTGGCAGCACTGTATTGAGCAGAGGCTGGGAACCACAGTGGGAAGATCCAGGCTCCAGACTTTCTGGGCTCAAATTCCAGCCCAGCTCTTTTTTTGAGATGTGATGCCAAGCAAGTTAGCTTTCCATCTCAATGTCTAAATTTATAAAATTTAGATAACAATAGTACCCATTTCATAGGGTGTGGCAAATATATGTGAAATATTAACAATCATTATAAATCCTATTTCAAAAGTATCTAATATGAGAAAATGGCCATGACAGAAGCAAACAAACAAACAAAAAAACAAAAAGTATGACCCTGACTATAGTACAATGTCAATTAAAATATTTTTTAGTATCTTTCCAAATGCCTTCAATTTGGATAAACGGAGTAGTCCCAGGCTGGATAAACAGCCTGCCCTAAGGCTGCAAGTCAGAGACCCAGTGCTCACAGAGGTGTCTGTCATCCGGCCAGTGGGGCCCTGGTTACAGCCCTGGTTACAGACCTTGCTCCTGAGGTGTGGCCAGCACCTGGGCTCAGGCAAGCTTTGGGCCTCTTTGAGCTCCCCCTGCCAAGTCTAACTGTCCAGCTCCATATGTGAGCTGCCCAACCAAGCTCATCTTTCTTTTTTATTATTTTTTTAAAATTTAAATTCTTGATTGTTTAAAGTATTACATAAGTCTCCTTTTTCCCCCATTGGCCTCTCCCCGGCTGTTCCCACCCCCCAGCACATGTCTTCACCCCCCTACTATCTGTGTCCATGGGTTATGTTTATATGCATGCATACAAGTCCTTTGGTTGACCTCTTACCCCACCCCCCTTCCCTCTGAGGTTGGATGATCTGTTCAATGCTTCTGTGTCTCTAGATCTATTTTTGTTCATCAGTTTATGTTGCTCATTATATTCCACAAATGAGTGAGATCATGTGATATTTACCTTTTTCCGACTGGCTTATTTCACTTAGCATAATGCTCTCCGGGTCCTTCCATGCTGTTGCAAATGGTAAGAGTTCCTTCTTTTTTACAACAGCTAGTATTCCATTGTGTAGATGTAAAAAGGAACCCTTTGTGCACTGCTGGTGGGAATGCAGACTGGTGCAGTCACTGTGAAAAACGGTGGAGTTTCCTCAAAAAATTAAAAATGGAACTCCCATTTGACCCAGTGATCCCACTTCTAGGAATATATCCCAAGAAATAAGAAACACCAGTCAGAAAGGATATATGCACCCCTGTGTTCATAGGAGCACAATTTACAATACTAAGATTTGGAAATAGCATAAGTGCCCATCAGCAGATGAGTGGATTAAAAAAACTGTGGTAGGCTCATTTCCCCGCCCCCTCCCCCCATAACTGCATGAGCTTCCTTTCACTAAATACGTGAAAGAGAAAATAGAATGGGAGACCCCCCAGCTCTTAGGAAACATGCTTTATCCTATGTAAAGGGGAAAACGGGGTTGTAAGTCCCTTGACCTTTAGCTGCATCATAAGCTTGAAAAGTTGAAGGAAAAAGGGTCAAAGAATTACTTGGTGTTAAGAAGACTAACAGTAGATGAGTGTCTGGCTTCAGCTAATGTTTTTCACTAGACACTCTGGGACTCTTGTGTGTGTCGATGCTGCATTGTTTTGGCCCACATGTTTGTTTGAACAGCTCTGTATTTTTCAGTAAAAGAGGAACATCTGAATTCCTCATTAAGACAATTTAGCTTAAGAATTCCCCTTTAATGGGTCATAAATATTCTCCTTTAAATGATTACGATGATGAGTAAGCAAATAAGACTTGTATTTATCCAATATATATGTTGTTTCAACAAAATTAATAATTTTGTAAAGGGAGGGACAACAACAAATGTATCAGCAAATATAGGTCAGAAAAGGAGTTCATGATGTTCTGCCAGACTCCAGCAAGGTGCCTTGTGAGTGTAGGTAGACAGGCGCAATGTTGCGGGAGTGAGAATGGCAATCGCACTACCATATGGAACAGTTGGTATTTGGGAAGCACTTAGATTCCTCCTCCAATACAGAATCAGTATGGATTCAAACAGAGGAGGAAACGGTTCTCTCGCTGTGAATCACTGGCTGGTGTGCAGAAATGCGGACATGGTGACTAGCAAGGGCTTATCAGAATGAGGTTCTCCAGGGAGGCTGAAGAGTGGGGATATTTCAGCATAGTTCACCGGGCTGTGTCCTTGGGCCTGTGGTCCAGCAATGTTCGGTGGTCTCCATCACCAAACCACTTGTTGCAATGGTGCAGGAAATCTCTCTGCAAGATCAGCCCACATCAGTCTTCAAAACTCAATACATGGGTTCTATAGGGTCTTAAGCACTTTGCCAGTATAGTGGGGAAGCATAGCTTTTGAATTGTAAGAAACTGAGACAATGTCTTTAAATTCTAATCTGATTCAGTCAGTCATCACTCATGTATTTACTAGGCAAACACCTCTATTGAGGGCTACCATGTGCTGGTGCAGTTCTAAACATCGGAGACATGCAACGGGACAAGACAGACATGAGGCCTGTCCTGATGGAGCTTGCATTTGTAAGGGAGGTAGATTTGACAGCATCATAGCCTGGTGTGGAGAACAGGGGAGCTGAACAGGACCATCCTAAAAGGAGGGGCAAGTGCATCTGAAATGAGAAGCTGGAGACACCAATGGGGAAAGACTTGTGAATCTGCAAAGCAGAAGGCAGAAAAGCCAGAGACTAGCCAGGGCTGGCGGTGAGGTTGTGACTATCGACAGTGGAACCACGTAGGGAAATAAAGGTGAGGCAAGAAGACAACTATAAAACTTTGCTTGAATGCACAGTTGTCAGGCCCAGTAAAAATTATACAGCTATTGATCTCTCAGTTTAAGTTCTCTAAGCTAAGTACGGTATTGACAATTCATATTTTAAGAAATTGTGACATGAATACATTTTACTCTATGACTACATAAACATGTTAGAGTGGGTGGCTCATGATATATGGTGCTACTTTCTTTTTCAACCCCCACCCACAGGAAGGGTTGGGCTTCACCAGAGCGCATTGACCTTATTCCAACTTTGACTCACTACATCCCATTTCTTACCCGATCCACCATCGTTCCCGTTAGAGAGGTTAATTATGTAAGTAATTCTGC